TCCAGTTGCAATATGGAAAGCTCACCGCCTTCAAGATCAATTTACATGCCACAGTGTTTCTGCTTCCCACTCTATGATAGTTTACTTTATTCAAACCCAAAGTATGCTTGCGAGCGATTGCTCGACTGAATTTGTTTGAGGGGTAAATTAGTGTCGGTGAAGGCAATAAATAACAGTGTCATCGTTTCATAAATAATATCCGCCAAGTGCGAAGCTGTAGCCATGCACCCCTTCCCTCTTCGTCTGGTCTAGTTTCAGTTCTGCCACACAGTTTCATCAAATACTCGCTGCTTCCCTTCTTCTGTGACAAATCAATGCGTTTATTGTGCAAACTGAATGAAGCATTCGGCTCCGATGCGTACTTGCTGCTCCCCTCCTTCTAATTCGTGATATTTTTAAAAAACATTGCCACAATTAACACCATCTCTTCGATTGAAATGCAAATTGATCTCATCGCCTACTTACATTGGAGAAGTAGGGCGCAAAATAGTCGCTATTACATGTAAATATTCCGTGCAGACAAAATATACCTCAAACATGCATATGATCATGACAATATTGGCATGCACCCGACTTCCAGCACCTCCCCTCTGTCCATTCAACTCTTCTGTGTATTGAGCTTAAACAAACACCTGATAAGGAGGTAACAGAAAAGAACAATCACAAAGTAGAATCGCATGTGATTTGTACTCAGAGAAGTGCCAAAAGAAGATCAAGCAATATCGTCAAATGTGTAGGCGGGTTGACCCTGCAAAATAATCTACTCACACAAGTGAGAGAATGACGTGACTCAGTGTGGCATGATAAAAACACGCGTAAATTAGGGGGAGACGTTAGTTGCTCTCTATCGGATTTGTCGGATGTTTCAACAAATACATCACACCTCCATGCATCATTCTCTGTTTTATTAGCCTCCCTATACTTTACACTTAGCATTAACGCAGTAACAATCGCGCGTTGTGTGCTTTCCACCAATAAGAAAAAGGCCAGCATCTAAATTTGCCTTCATGTGCGGGAAAGTAGGCTTTGGTTACCAATCCGTTTGTGATACAGGAGAATAGGTATTCGGAAGTGGTAATTTTAAGTTGTCGCCTCTTTGAATTTCAAGATACATCCGTTGAGTCCTACAGGGAAATATGGGATAATATACTGATGCCATTAACATGCAAGACGGATCCAATTGCGTGGTATTCGTACGCTTTGCCAAGTATTGGCAGGGCTTTGATAATTTGAAGGTATTTTATG